GTGTGGGGGGGGGGGTCTTTTCGGCCATTTCAGAGCTTTTTCGTGACCAGGGGTGGCAAAACTCTTGGCCCGCCCTGGATGGCAATAACCCGAGCTACGCTACCGGTGTGGCGACCCTTTTTAGCTAATAACAAATAGAAGTTAACAAACTGTTTTCAATTGTTTTGTTTTTGTTCATTGAGGTCGTCCTAAGTAATGTAATGCACGGTTTTCAGCATTCACCCTTTCAAACTTTGATTTCCTTTTTAATAAATGTCATGGTGCCTACCATTGTTTAAAGCTATTAATAAAATATCGAAGCTTGTGGTAAATGTGTAAACTGTGGACTGCATGCTAACCCCTTTTAACAGTTTTGGCTTAAGCCATGATGCGGACAATGTAACGAGTGCAGCGGTGCAGCGGTTACCAAACTGTAGTTACAGCACCCCATATTTAAATATATATATATATATATATATATATTGAAGGAAAAAAACTCCATTCGAAATAAACAGATATTTGCAAATATGTATATAAATATAAAGAATACATTATTCAGGCTCCCATACTCTACTGTAAACTAGACCTCGCCCCCGAGGGGCCCCAAACCCAGTCCGAAAACCGCTACTTTTACAGGAACACGCAAGCCAGCCGGGGAGTTTCCCTACTGAACTGGGATACCCATTTACTGCACTGCCCTGCACAGGGCTCGTATTTGTCAGTTGTATTCCAACTCTCTAGTAAGTGAGACCCAAGCAAAGCTTTGTGCCTAACAAATTCCTTTTAAAATAGAAATAAACTTGAGTTATGTTGATCTTGAGTGGTTTTAAATTTTAATTCATATGAACGGCAACTAATAATTCACTAATTGGTAAGTTTGTTTGAGTTTGGGTAAATCCGTTGTAGTTGTATCCTTTTTATTTGTTATTGTTTATTTTACAAAATGCATGCCTCTTCAATTTAAAAGGACTTAAGTTTTAACAAACTCTCATTATTTATTCTTTACGGCAATGCCGTTATAGTTATACTAGCTTTTCTCATTCTGTTGAAATAGTTGTACACAAACCTTACGAGAGAACTAATAATTTATAAACTGTAAAACGCCAGGCCGTAGTGCCGTAGTCGTAATTTAATTATAATAAACTTGTGTTTTAAATTAGTATTACTACTATAAAGTAAATTAAGCATAGCATACATTCTAGTAAATTTAATGTTAGATATTTAATATAAGTTATAAGTATAACTAAAACTATTAGTAATATAGTAATATAGTGAATATAGGCCTACTTTTAAATTTAATACTACTCTTTTGACAAATTGAGACATTTGTCATAATTTGACTGAGCCTAGAACTAGAGTGCTTAGACGGCCTAGTCAATTTTGACAGTACCGGGGATATAATGTCATGTAATATTAATATATATATATATAGATATTTATATATATATATATATATATATATATATATATTCAATTTAAATTATTGGCTACCGGTATTGAAATTTATAGTTACAAGTACAAGGCCAAGGCCTTATTTATTAAATTCAAAAACTAATTCCACATGATATGGGCCTAAATGACAAAAAAATATTTAATTTTAAACTTATGGTTTTTTATTATTTTGTTTGCAGTTGGTTTGTTGAACAGCATTTGCTGATGAACACTTCACCAAATAAAGTGGACGTGGAATGTACTTGTTATATCTCATCTGAACAAAAGACAAAATCACTTGATACTTTTTTCACCTTGTTTGTGTGGCATTTGTTCCTAACAAGAAACTGAGATCTTGTGTCTGCTGATAGCAACACTCAATTTGTATTCATCTATAACATAACTAAAATGGAGCATAGTTTGGAAAATCATTCCAATCAGATGCTGCCGCTAAAAGAAGTTAGCAACGGTTTCTATGAAAACTCAGACATGGATGACATTGATGAGTTTTGTTGGCCTTACAGTAGCCCTTATAATCAACCTGGATCATCAAGCATGGATACTGGAATGGTCAGCGGTGACCAATCCCTGGAAGAAATGGGTCTAATTACTAGATATGATTCATCATCTTATGTTAACTCTCCCCCTATGGAACTTGCTCCGCCTAGCAACATATCAACATTACCATCTGAAGATGAATGTGTTGCTTTAGACGATGCCGTTGATGACGACAATGACATGGATGTGCATCACAAGGAAATGCGAATTGACGTAAAATATCGTCTCCACAAAAAGATTGAGGATCGGGTAACGGCAACGGGCAAAGTACTCCCTATCAAAACTAAAGAGTCTGTGGATAATACAGTAACGGTAAGATTTGTACTTTAAATAGGAAGCATACCTATGAGTAAGATATTAAAACTTTTAATGAACAAAACTTTAATCATCTTATACTTATATAGCTTGTATCTAATATTTGTTTTATAAGAAATCAAATGTTATTACCTTTAAAAATATCTTTGTCAATAATTATAATTGATTTAAAATTTGTTTGTTAATATTTTCAATACAGCTGACATGGGAAGAAACGAAGAAAAGTGAAGTCAAGAAAGAGCGTAACCGCAAAGCTGCAAAAAAAAGCAGAGATAAGAAGAAGGAAGAATTCGATAATGACTTGCAGGTTAGGGGCAGGTATCTTTTATATTTTAGGACCACTGAATTTTTATGTTGCTATTTTTTTTTATGTGTACAATGTTGCCAGTTAGCGTGTCTTGTTGAAATCCTTTAGAATAAAAGAATGTAAGCTTTAACTTTATTTTATTCTAACGCTTTTCATAGTTGATGCAAGGTAATATATATGTGCCATTTTTCAACAGATTGAAAGGGAGATGTGTTTGAGAAATGACCTTTTGAAAAAACAGATAGCTGATCTCAGTTTGGAAGAAGCTTGGCGCCAATGTGTTTGTAATGATATGAAACTCGCCTGCTCTACTGAAGGTAATTTTAAAGATTCTTTCTCATGTTTTAATAAGTTATAGTTTATAGGTTAATAACTATGATAGCTATGCTGATATTTTGTTGCATTTCTATGTCCTTTTGATTACATTTATGTTGAGAATGTCCAAAAATAATGTTCTTACCTAAAGTTTAATGTAACAATTCCTTATTCTATAATAAACAGGACATTTTTTTATGACGGCACGGCCTCTAAATAAAGATGATCGTGCTGCTATAAATCTCATACAAGAGCTTCAGGCCATTGTGGCGCCCAAAGACAAGAACTCGTTTGAAGGTGCTCATAGTGTTCCTATGGAGCTCAACGCATTAACCTCATATTCGTCCCAGCTTGTGACATCTTCTTCAAAATATTCTGCGAATTCTAACACGCCTCGCAACATCAGTTTTGGCAGTGGGGTATTTAATGGATGTTACGCTAATAGTAATTCCTCAAATTTATTTTACCCAGCCGAAGAAATATGTACCGGTACAAATAAAAATAATAGTACAAATAAAAGTATTAAATATGACCGTAATCGGTTAAATGAAAATGCTGGAGATAATTGTTTAGCACCCATGGTAAAAAAAGTTAGGATAGAGTAGTGTCTCACCTTTGTTACAAAAATTGTTGACAAATAGTGGAAAATTAGCTGGACATGATCAATTTGCTTGACGCAAAAAAAAAAAAAAAAAAAAAAAAAAATTTAAAAAAAAAAAAAAAAATTAAAAAAAAAAAAAAAGGGGGGGGGGGGGGGGGGGGGGGGGGGGGGAAGAGGTCTCTAATGTTACCTTCAGGAACATTGAATTTTAAATTCACTGCCTATGTATATACATACAGAAAATGAAATTTTTTTTAAAAAAGAATATTGGCAAACTTTTCAAAAGTGTCCAGTCGAATATTGCCTCCCAACCCACCTTTTTTAAAAACATAATTGAATTTTCTTTATTGGAGATTAAATTTCCCACATCAGGTTCATCTTTGTGGGATATCACTCTAGGTTATGAAACACTGAGACGCTAAACATTTAACAACAGCAGACTTCCCGCTGCTTCCTGCTGATAAAACAGCACAGCTCTATTACATTAGTGAGACCCCCTTGGTTCTGGATGGATTTGCCTTGAAATTAATAGAAAACAAGTCACCAGACAGACTTGAACAAAATGTCCAAAACAATAAAAATTTCTTCCCCTTTTAGCATTAAGTCCTTCCAATCTTCCCTGTCTGTCACATAGTGACATCATTCTGTCCCTTATTTATCATCCTTTTATATTGAAAAAAAAAAACGGGAAAACATCACTCAAAATATTGTTCTTTTTGGATTTACCAAGTGCAGATCAATGGTTTTCGGACCCAACAAGCAAAGGAACTTTCAATTTTTATAAGCTGACGAACAATATTTTAATGGGGTTTTTTTTTTACTTTTAGTTAAATGGGTTTTCATTTAGTAATATATTAATACCCCCACCCCCCCAAAAAAAAAAAAAAAAAAAAAAAATATTTAATAAAAAAAAATAACATTTAATAAAAAAAAAGTCTCTATTCATTTACCAAAAGGCATACAAATTTTAACCTCTTTGAAATTGTTTAAGCAGTGGTTCTCAAACTGTTATAAAATATTTTTACTGAAATTACAGCTAGGTTTCAGAATTAAACTTTTATGTTTTGAAACAATTATAGGACGGACATCAAATGAACACTGTACAAATTACCAAATGTTCCCTGGTACTCAGTGTCCGAATTTTAATAACTTTTATACCTATTTTCTGAAAGGTGAGTGTGAAATTACTTTTTTTATTATTACACCAAAGGCTCTGTTCTGAGAACCACTGCTAAAAGTTGGTTACTTTTTAAAAAATCATTTTCTGAAAATTTTAGCTTAAATTTATTTGAAATTCCAAATTATCCTGAATGTTAAATTTAAGAATATGTTTTCATTGATTTTATCAAGTTTTTTTTTTTTAATTTGGTGAAAGAAATAAAATTACTTTTTTTTAAATATGTCATGGAAGTATTTAAACAATTTTGACTTTTTAAAAACATTTTTATTTTTTATTATTTATCAATGCTTGTTAAAACCAGATGAATGTTTTCATACTGCTATGACTGTAGAAAAAATTAGCTAGCAAAGTTGCAATGCCATATTTGTTGGGTGCCCAGAAGTAGAATAACTTTCAGATAAAAGTGTCAGGAACAATGTTGTTACCATGCTTATACTTATATCCTAATGTTTCTTACCGTTTTATTACCTAAATAATATTGAAAATCAAGAGTAGAATCCTAGTTGCGAATCCCAAGATAGTTTCTTTTCTTATCTGATGAAGCCCATATTTTTTTTAGTTTTAATTTTAGTGGAAGGCATCTTTTGATCATAGTAAGAATATTGTGAAAATCATCAGATTTATAAAATCTAAAATAGATATTTAACAAATATTAAGCATTGTGGAAATTATTTATTGACTTCATCCTGTTTTTACAAGTTTTATAATGTATTATCAAATATTCAAACAATTTACATATTTAAATAAGCAGGTTATTTTGGAACTGCTTTAATTATGAAACACTTGTATATTTTTAACACCAGATTTAATATTGAAAAGTTAAGAGAAGTCTTACATTTTTTTGGTCATAGATTTTTTTTAAACCAGCTTTTCAAATATTAATACATCCTCACATATAATTAAAGTTGCACAGCCTCACTCACACAAAGAGAAAGCAAGTGAAACATGTGCTTACGATTAACTAATTTTGTGGTACATAGCAGGGGTACTTAATTTTCATTTTATATTGAAAGCAAGGTGCAAAATAAAAAAAAATTTAAATTTAAAAAAGCAAGTTATTTTTATGGTGTCGATGTTAAGCCTTATATGCCACTCTAGATCGATTTGGGTGCTAGACTCTAATCAATGGAATTCTTGATAAATTTTAAAATACCAATGATGTGCATCCTTATGATTTGTTCATCTGTGAAAAGAAGTGATGTGACCTTTAAACATTATTTTATAGTCAATTCAGCTAAACTTAAGTGTTAAATCCATCTTCTAAGGCAGGTGTGTCAAACTCAATCGCTCGGCGGGCCAAAGCTCAAATCACATGTAAGGTTGCGGGCCGAACAGGATAAACATTCAATAAGCGGAAAAATTATCTTTTTTTAAAAAACATTTATATAAATGAAAATAGAAAACAGTTTTAATAATTAAAAATCATTGGCATACCCATGTTTGTTCACATGCCAATCTGTCAGAGTAGGATGTTTGGCACATTTTCTTGGCAACAAAAACAAATCAGTTCGTTTATGTTGGGAGTAATGTTATGTGTTATTGAGATTCTCATGATGGACTGCAAGTGTTCACCAGTGTGACGGCTCCTGTGTGATGTTTTGTTAATCTTAACATGCTCAAGGTTCGAGCCGCATGTAGACCAAGCTGGGGCATCTCTTCAGGAATGAAATGAGTGAACTGTGGAGACCCAACTGTGTCGTACTTTGCCTTTAGTGTCCCATTACACTGCAGCTCTATTAGCTCGATCTGCTAATTTACAGGTGTAGTTTGAACATCTATGACAAACATTACCAAACAGCTCAAAATTACATTTCTGTGCTTCAAAGTCACTAAAGCGCCATGCGAACTCGGTGCGAAGTAAGCGAAGTTTTTCAGCAAAGTGTGCATTGGGAAACACCATAGCGTTGACTTGGATATAATTGTATGCCGGTGAAGACCACGCGGCCTGATATAATTGATCGGCGGGCCGCATGTGGCCTGCGGGCCTTGAGTTTGACACATGTGTTCTTAGCAATGGGTATCTCTATTAGTCTATTTACATGTTTTATATGTATGTGCTGTATTTGTGTGCTCGTGGTAATTCCATGATCAGAGCTTGGTTGACTAAGGTCTGCTAATGAAAATTATCCGAAACAACACACTGACTTGGTCTTGTGGATTGTAAATATTTTTTTTTAAATATTCCACAGTTAGATTTGGACAAATCTAAAAACATTTTAACAAATAATTAAACAATGGAATAGCAATTTTTATTAAAAACATAACATGTAGAAATTGTAATAATTTATGTTAATCTGGATGTCAAGAAAATTAATTCAACTTTTAATGTTTATGGTACCGGTAGTTCATTCTGAAAAACGTGAATTAAATTTTTTTTTTTTTAAATCTTTACCTTTTTGGACAAAAACTGTAAATTCAAATTAATGGTCTGAAAAAAATGATTATTGTTTTTATTATTTTTTTATTAGTAGATTTAATGTAAATATTTTTACCGATACATACATTTTTTCCTTATAGCTTATAATTTATTTCAGAGGTTATGATTGAACAGGATTTTATGAGAGACTACAGAAAAGGGCAAACAATTGTTTTTTTTTAAATTATAATTTATTTCAGGGGTTTCGATTAAGCGGAGTTTTAATAAGAAATTGAAATGAGAGAATACCGGAAGGGTATCAAACATTATTAGGCCCAATTGTCATAACCTAAAATTTATTTTTTAAAACAAAATTATGCCAAAGCTTTTATTCATAAAAACTGGTTCTTCAGTTTTCCCGGTGTACAATATTACACACATTTCATTACACATGTATATTGTAATTAAACCAATATCAGAATTTTAATTAGCCATTTATATTATATATCTGTGACAACCCATTCTCAGATGAAAAGGATCTGCAAATAGATCAGAGATTATATTAAGGGATAAAGATTTCAAAATAATCCTAGGAAAATTGGGTAACCCTTATTGGTGAAAACTGCTTGAAATTTTGTGCCATAAAATGTTTTGTTAAGTTTAAGTTTCTGAGAATGGGTAGAAACAAAAATTTTAAACACTATTTTATGCTTTTTATAATTGTATTTATCTTGATCAGAAATTGGTGGGGGTTTTCTTTCTCCAATAAAATTATATTCCTTCATATTGGAGCTCAGTGTTTTTATTCTTGCCTTGTTCTTCAACTTCATTTTATAGATTGAATAACCATGAGTTTACATTGTTTTCATGTATGAAGTAGAATTTTAAAAATACACTACTTAATTAAGCCAGTGTTTCATAACCTATTTTGTTTCACATAAGCATCAAATGTTTAATGTAAACCACCCCCCCCCTTTTTTTTTTTCTTTNACCTTCAGGAACATTGAATTTTAAATTCACTGCCTATGTATATACATACAGAAAATGAAATTTTTTTTAAAAAAGAATATTGGCAAACTTTTCAAAAGTGTCCAGTCGAATATTGCCTCCCAACCCACCTTTTTTAAAAACATAATTGAATTTTCTTTATTGGAGATTAAATTTCCCACATCAGGTTCATCTTTGTGGGATATCACTCTAGGTTATGAAACACTGAGACGCTAAACATTTAACAACAGCAGACTTCCCGCTGCTTCCTGCTGATAAAACAGCACAGCTCTATTACATTAGTGAGACCCCCTTGGTTCTGGATGGATTTGCCTTGAAATTAATAGAAAACAAGTCACCAGACAGACTTGAACAAAATGTCCAAAACAATAAAAATTTCTTCCCCTTTTAGCATTAAGTCCTTCCAATCTTCCCTGTCTGTCACATAGTGACATCATTCTGTCCCTTATTTATCATCCTTTTATATTGAAAAAAAAAAACGGGAAAACATCACTCAAAATATTGTTCTTTT